ACTTAATTGTTTAGAATACTTAATATTCCAATTTAGAAGATACGAATGTAAATTCTTGTATCTTTTTAACTAAAAGTATTATAAAAGAGGATTTGACTGAAATATTAAGTTTACTAAACAATCACTTTTACAAAAACTCCCCTACGATTCCTCTCACCTATGACTAAGTCTCATTAACACTATATTTATTTGTCGAATTTATATTATTTTACATCTATTTGCACTAAAAATGCATTTTTAGCTGCTTTTGATCATAGCACAAATAATTGCTGCGGTACGGGACCGTATAACACTACGCCTATCGAATTCTCTTTAACAGTTAGCTTGTAAAAGTGCAAAATTTTGTTTTAATATTAAGTTAGAATAAAAACTGACTAAGTGGTATTCATATTCATAAAAAATAAATATATTCACTCATGAGTGTCTTTTGGGGATACCGGACTAGCTTCGAACCCAACAGGGGTCCTTTTTACCGACCGGAGAGTTGTGTTTTTCGAGTGTTTGTAATTCTTTGCCATGCCCTATAGTTTAAACGGCTTGATGGATTTTCGCGTTCGACGTTTTGTTAGATTCGTTTTAATTGTAAGAGTGATACTGACAATGAGTTACGACCTTCAAACCTTCAAGAAAAGAGCGTACTCCTTCCTAAAAGGCCGGCAACGCGTTTGTGACTCCTCAGTTGCAGACGTTCATGGGCGCCGATGGTCAATTTCCATCAGGTGACCCATCTGCTCGTCTGCCAACTCTAACATAATAAAAAAAAAAAAGATAATCGTCGGTATTTTTTGTATACATTTTTAAGAAGTCGTTTTTTTTTCAATAAGAAGCTTGTTCGAGGAGTGAAACATCACAATGCATTGGTGATGTTGCCCACCGATTCTTTTGTTATGGAGAGCGTTCGTAAGACGTGTTCGTCTCCGCTGTGTTGTATGTTGTGGCTTTGGGTTCGAAATTAGTCGAGCATTTAAAATATGCATGAGTAAAACCATTAATTTCCATTACATTAAGTGAAAATCCAATAACTTGATATGAGTATACTATTTTCCCATCTGACGGTAAGCGGGTACCGATGCCTATAATCGTGAACGTCACGCTCTCGTTGCGTTACGTCGACCTCTATTCATTACTCTCTCTCTCTCTCTCTCTCTCTACTAGCTCTCTTCATTGACAGTTAGTCGTTAGTAAATTGTTTAAAATTTGCATTAATTTAAAATGCTGATTTAACTCCAAAATACGTTGTACTAAGAAATAATTTTATAACTTAAAAATTAATGTGTGCATATAAATAATTTATTTCGATAATTAAATCTTGACACAACTCACATATGGCCGTCTGATCCCAAACTAGGCAGAGCCTGTACTTTGAAACCCTCACTATTTATAAACATACTAATACATTTCTAAATATATTCATATTACAGATAAATCAACAACTATTACTATAAATATTGTGCTCATCATACAATTTCTTAGATGGGAATCGAACCCACGACCGACGAAGAAAGGGTAGCGATTACCGTCAGACGGGGTGTGTTTTTACAACACCTTGCTATGTAGTTATTATCTAGCAACCAACTAAATTATTCCATTATTTTTCTAATGATTTAACGCCACTATGTAACTTAACTGTGATTGTATTTAGGGTATAAATAACATCGGCCATCAACAATGCATTTTATTCAAGTTTATTAAAGATATATCTTTAGTTTCGGACTCGACTGGGGTCCTGTGTCAAAGGGTGAAGCGACCTTCGTCGATGTTGGTCATATGTCTTTAATAAACATGTGGATTTTAAATACAAATATTACCTTGAAACAATTATAAAATTAAGTTATGTACTTCATATATACACAAACGATATTTCTATTTAGAAATATATAGTAATTATTAACAGGAATGGTTTAACACACTTAAATTAATTTTAACATAAAACATTTGTATAATACCATGAGGGTAGTTTTAAATCAATGAAGATATTGGGTATAGTTACATTTATGGGACATGCTACAACTCTAGGAGATCTATGGTACAGCACATGTTGGGTCTGCTCGAGCAATAAACCACAGGCTTACAGAAGACCGGTGTTAAACAATTGTTTCGTTGTTTTTAGGCATGGGACAAAATCACAGTGAACTGTGAAATACCGGTGATTTATCATTCGTTTTTTTTTGTACGTAAAAGCTAATAAGCTGTTTTCGCCTATTCAACAATAAATCTAGTAATTATTTTATTTTATATAGTTACTATTCCCTACATAATTAAAAAAATACGAGATTTACTGTTAAATAGCGTCTAACCTATTTACAAAAAAAAATTAAAGAAAAATCACAGTTTACTGTGATTTTGTGCCATGCCTAGTTGTTTTCACCGATTAGCGTAACTCTCTCACTCAGTAACTCTCTCGGCGCACTGAAAGGGCGGCCACGCATTTGTCTCTTGAGTTGTAGACGTTTATGTGCGTTTGTAGTTACTCATTTTTTAATCTGTTCTAAATAGGGAGAGTAAGAGAAGCAGGAGAAAGCCACTGATCCCGGAAGAGTAGTTTCTCGTCCCGGACCGAAAATAGAAGATAAGTTTAGGATCTCAAAGCGGATATCTTGCTGCCAGTTTGGGATAGGGTTTTGAAATAAGGCGCCTGGCCTTGAAATTATCATTTAAAGTTGTTTCCGGGCAATTTTCATTTTTGTTTTTTTTTTAAGTCTTAAAATTAAATATTTATCAATACATGGACAACGTAACTAATATAATATTTTGGGACAGTTATTCACAAAGAAATTTCATTTTTATGAGGTCTTTTATGACATGGGATATGGTGTAGTCATAGTTGGTTTGATTCTGATATATAGATGGTAATATCATAACTTTAGAACATCGACACAAACTTCTACATAAATATGCATATATACAACCCAATATCTTTATTAACTTAAGGGAACATTACGCTAAAATATGATTAACATAATATTATAAATTTACACAGAAAACATAGTAGTTTAGCTGTAAAAACGAAACCTCCGCAAAAGCACCGTCGATATAAAATAGTTTTCTAATAAGTAATAGTAAAAACACAAATTTGTTATAAGAAAACTAAAAGTATACATTCCAAAAATTTATTTTCAATATAATTACTTTTTACATAAAAAATCACCAATTGTACATCATCATCAACATCTCAGCCGAAAGATGTCCACTGCTGGACATAGCCCTCCCCAAGATTCGCTACAACAACCGGTCCTGTGCTGCCCGCACCCTAACAGCTTCCCGCGAACTTCACCAAGTCTTTAGACCACCTTGTACATACCTACATTTTATTTCGCTAAATTTTGGTTCCGTTATGAAACTTGCGTATCAGTCGGCCATGAACTTTTCAGAAGAGAGCACGTTTTCGAGATTGAGTTGACGGTGCTTTGTCGACTTTAAAAGCTATCGTATCGACATGCTAGCGTAATGCTCATCATCATCATCAACAGCCTATCGCAGTCCACTGTTGGACACAGGCCTCTGCATTTGCACGCCACTTAGATCGATTTTGGGCTTCTCGCATCCAGCTCCTGCCAGCCATCTTGCGCAAATCGTCACTCCACCTGGTCTGTGAGCGTCCTACACTACGTTTGCGTAATGCTCCCTTTAATATTATTCTTAAAGAATAAATACCATGTCGAGATGTTACATTTCATTATCGTTATTGATAATTATTTACTATAATTAATTTCGACTTACAAATCTATCATCTGTTATGGCGAAGTACTCGTGATAAGTTATATATCAAAAATTAAATGCCAATACGGAACGTACAGCTTTTCCTTCTTTTCCTTGTTCACTCTCCCAATGAATCCAATAAAAATTAAATACATATCAGAGATCCTCCTTCCTTTTGAAGAGATCCCAAATAAACAGGTTTAAGTATTTCTACATAACTTGTAAAAAAATAATGATATTTTGGCCGTAACATCTTGACGCGAAAACACTTTAAATATATAAAATTTGAAACTAACTAATGATTAAGTTAAAGTATTAACAAGTCTATTAATACAAATTTAATAACATATTATTTCATGTTTATGGTTATAGCGTAACGGTGCTGCGCCATATTGATCCCGTCGGGAAAACTGTGATGTCCCTGAAAACATAAGGTTTAATGTATTTCTTCCAGGTAAGTAAATTGTTGTGGTCTATATTTGGATGTATTGACTGTGGGAGTCTGTACCCCAAATTCGGACAGGAAAACATTAAACATAACAATCAAAGACATATACAGAGTGTAAGGGATGTCGTAACGAATACTGAAATAGTGTATTCAAATTATCATTCTGAGTCGAAAATCATTGGAATGTAAACATAATTTACCTACTTTTTTACGCACGCTCCGCTAATTCTAGCTTGTCAACAAACTTCTGATCCCAAGATGATCGTATCGCACTGTCGTAAGGTTAGAACATACACATGCACGCACACACAAACATATACACACGCGTACGCGTCCATATACACAAACAGCCTACCACATAATATTCACATTACACGTTTCATCATTAATGTTCTTTATGTTCATTCATCATATATCATATTCATTCACTAGTTTCATTTACTTGTTTAATCTTGTATCTTTTATGTCCACACTTCCACTTGATTAGCTGAATGGAATCAGAAAGGTAATTTGTCTAGAGTTGGAGAGGCGTGTAAATCTGTTATATAGGTCTTCTTAGAGCAGGTGCCAGTCTTTTACACAGATTCACCTAACTAAACACATAACATTTAGCTTAAGATGGAATAATCGTAACTATTCTGTGTGAGAGAGAAAAATAAACGATTATTACATAAGTGAGTATCCAAACTGAAAATAAAAAAGAAATATAACGAAGAAAGATCCAGAAAAGTTTAATCGATTAACAATTAGTTTAGTGTGTGTGTGTGTGTGTGGGGGGGGTGCAGTAGAGACGTTACCCGGTGGGGCGCTAGAGGCGCGTGCTCTAGATGTGTATGGTGTAGAGCACGCGGCGCTAGGGCGGCGCGGCCAGCAGCGCGCCGAACTGCAGCAGCGCCTCGCGCAGCGCGCCCGCGCACCCACCCGCGCGCGCGCTGCCCGCCACGCCCACCAGCAGCGGGTACACGCCTGCGCACACGCACGGACTTTACACAAGCTTCGGACACTGTTCATCGACCGAACGTTACATATATCATGTCATAACTTATTTAAAACCGAAAGTGGTTTATCAAAACCCTTTGGCCACATTAAGCTATAGTAAAAACATATAACGCTTTGTGAACAGAACAATAATCTTGATTTTGTTCTATGGATTTACTAAGGAGTGCCACAGGGCTTTATTTTGGGTACTACCTGATGATCAATAATTTTATTTCTTCTTATTAAAATCGAAACTAAATATTTTATCTTCTAAATAATTAAATGCTTAAATATTATAGCTTCCACTCGTCATAGACTAACTGTAAAAAATATTTATATAATTTTTTTGTTTTAGCTTGTCACCGGATGATAAGTGCCTGCTACTTCTGCCCATAAATACCTGCGTTTCAAGAGATATAAGTTAATTATCACCCTTTGACCCCCAGAAATAGAGGGGTTTAGTCCTCCAATTAACACCAGTCTTCTATGAAGCCGTGATTTGATAGCCAGTATGCAGTAGCACCAAAGCATGGTATCCTAACTATCCATAGAGAACTCCAGTAACTAGAGCAATCGATAAACTTGAATTACTGAGATGTCTACAAATTCCCTTATATCATTTACATACCTATTAATTTCTGCCACGCAACGGCGTCGACCTTCCCTGGAGGTGCCTTTTTCATTGATTCCGTGAGCGTTGCTACCGCTTTCAAGACGAATGAGATTTCTGATAGCTGATGTCTGTTTAATATAATAGATTATTTGTATTAGTTTAGTTTGTATTTAGAACGATATTAAATAATCTAATAAACACAGAAGAAATATTTTTAACGTCCAATTATCTTTTATCTGTGTTGACGCCATATCAGATGTGTTCCTTACCGCTGTGCAGCCCTAAAAATTTTATTTGAGCCATTCTAATATTTAGTATTCTCACTCTCGGAGATACGGCCAGGGGACCCGCTCATGCCGCGCCTGCTCTAACAGACATGGTCGTATACGCAAGTATGGACTAAACATTTGCAGACAGTCCTTCAGGGAATATACCCATAGCATTGGTTACAAAAAGCTGGACTAAAATGTTAAGTCAATAAACTTAAAGTTAAGTTAATAAAAAATCTGACGATGACAGAATATTGATTTTCCAGTGCTTCTAAATAAAGTTCAGTAAACTAATTAATTTAATTTTCGTATCGGCAAACGTAGTGTAGGACGCCCACAGGTCAGGCCAGGATGGCTGGCATGAGATGGATGCGAGAAGCCTAAAATCGATCTAAGTGGAGTGGAAGAGGCCTATGTCCAGCAGTGGACTGCGATAGGCTTATGATGATGATGAAACTAATTAAAAAAGAAAAAAAATATTTGGTAAAATTTACCTAGGTAATGGTTCAGGGTTGTCGTCGTCTTGTGTGTATTTGGATATGACTTCCTGAAATCTGTCCAAAAGGGCTACAATTGCTAGGGGGTCTGTGTCATCTGAAAACAAAAGAAATATTCATGGTGTAACATCTTTTAAATTTTAGATCATTCAATCTTCTCCAAATAATCTCATTCTGACTTCCAGTTTAGCCAGTCCCACCTAACTACTTTAGATCGTCAGAATATTTTTTTAAATCACAACAGTCGGCCATGAACTTCTGTAATTCAGAGGTCACAAGCGCGTTTCCGGCCTTTAAGGTAGGAGTATGCTCTTTTCTAGAAGGTTTGAAGGTCGTATTGGTCTGGAAATACTGCAAGCGATCAATTTGGCTGGAGGATGTTCAACATTCAGTTTACCGTCCCTCGTGACCCTCGTAACCCTATAATCTCTATCGGTCTTTTACCACACGCGAACAGTCCATTTACTTTAGACAATTAGCGTTTTTATTCACCATTGCGATTGTCTGCGCTTTTCCCGATTTTTATTTGGCGACTGAAAAATTTTACGTCGGGGTATCAGGAATTTCCTTCCTAGGGTACACCGGGTTCCCCGGCAACTGGTACCCGAGACGGCGTGCGGTTTTTGATCGGTTCGAGTCCGACATAACCACCGGTGGGTGGTATCCAATAGGTATTCGCACAGAAAAAAAAGGGGCTGAACAATTTGAAACATGCAGAAAGTTCGGATGGTTTTATTTTATGGCCGACACTGTCTGCCTGAAGTCTACTCTTACTAGGTATTTTATTGTTTTCAGGCGGGATATGGCAAGGAAATAAATTTGGGGAAGAAAAACAGAACAGATTTGCTAGAGGTCAGAGTCGGGTACGCGACTCCGACCTCTAGCAAATCTGTTCTGTTTATGACTGTGTATGACTGTCGGTCCGCGCTTGAAGAGGAACATTACTGCCTATAATGCTCTATTCTTATTATTTAGATCTATATGGAATTTCAAGAATTTTGGTATCGAGGAAGACTGGTAATTGCAGACAGAGAAAGTCTACTTTTTATCTTGAAAATAAAACTTAATGGGGTTAACATAGGGAATAACTCTTTGTATTAGAAAGATTGTATGCAGATTAAGTCCTGGGAACCAGTTAGTATACACATAAATTGAGTAGAGTAGCTATAGGGTAAAAAGAAAATTAACTCACCGTCTACTCCGGCGAAGGAGTCTATATCTTCTAGCATGGAGAACTGAAGAAGAGTCTCGAAGCACGTTCGCGCGAATTCTTCTCTCTCTTTCAACTCTTGCTCGTTTTCTGTCGATATTAATTTAAAAAATGCATGGATTGTTTTACATAATTTTATTCTTATTTTTTGACTAAATAGAGGCGATAATAAAAATAAGTGAAGTACTTAGGGATTATTGATTAATTACGTAATATTTTGTAGTTTTTAAGCGTCAGCTAATAGTCTCATCTATATATGGAAAATAAAGTCGTTAAAATGTTTTATATGATTAATTAAAGGGGTTTACGTCTAATCGGTGTGGTGTGTAATGTAAGTGGCGTATTGGGTGTGGCAAAGTATAAGTTCTCACGTATTGGCTGCGGCGGCTGCGTGTGCAAGGAGCCGGCGCGCACGAGCGCCAGCAGCGCGCGCAGGTGGTGTGCGGGCAGGCGCGGGCGCGCCCGCAGCGCCTGCTCGCGCACGGCCACCACCAGCTGACGCGCCAGCCGACCGCCGCCCACGCTGACGAACACAAGTGCACGAGTTCTCAATTTTGTCCATTTCTTAAGATCTAAATTCTAGCATATTCATTTAATTCTAACAACTTTATGCAGAAACAGTAAAACTTCAAGAACAAGTAAAATCAAAAGATGGAATCGTTATCTACGTATGTACCAGGACCGACTCTTACAACTTTTATTTAAAGTATTTTAATTAAAGAAAATGATCTACACAAATAAATAAAATTGAACTGTCTGTCTGTTCTGTTTGTAATGTCAAAATAATAGGTTTTTTCATGCTCACAAGGTTATTTGCACGATACCTTTGCCGAAAACCCAGTTTAAATATTTTTTGTCTCTCTGTCGGTCTGTCTGTTTGTTTCGGGTTATCTTCTACACGGTTGTACCAATTTTGATAATATTTAGCACCAACGCAGTGGCAGCGCTTTTCAGATTTCACGCGAAAGAAGTCACGGGTACCCAGCTAGTATTAAATAAATATACTGAAGGTTTTTGATTTTTCATTAGAAATTTACTAATTAATTAAATTATACATAAACAGTAAAACCTTCCTAAACCGGGTTATGTACGATAAATTACAAATCGAATGCTGGCTACGATAGCTGGTAGGTTCGACTCTCCCTACATGAACTACTGTTCCAAGATTCATATAAAGAGAATAAATAAATACTGTAATTAGTTTTTTTACCTCTATTCGTTTTTTTTGTATGTATAACAATTTGTGTGGAGTTTACCTAAATAAAGAGAACCTATCTGTGTCTATCATTCACAACCAATTTGTTTAATTCTATCGGACTTATTAAGACTTATTCCGGCAGAAAATATCAATGATTTTCAATTCAGAATGATGGTCTGAATACACTATTTCAGTACTAGTTACGAAGTCCCTTACACTCTGTATAGTGACAATTTTTCTCGGTTTTCTCATTTTAATATACGGATAATTTATAAAAAGGTAGATTATTTAATCCAAAGCTGGAAAAAGTAAGAACTGTAAACGACGAGTATACTGGTGGCTCTTTAAGTTCAAGAATGCTGAAATGCGATTGGCTGTCGCAAAAACACGTAGCTCATCAATACTGCCGGACATACCATTGCTGGACATAGGCCTCTCCTTAGAAAGGAGGTTTTGGCCTACCATACCACACTGACCAGACGGGTTATTTTAAGTTTTCCTTCTCATTGCAATGCTTTTATCCAGCGTAGTTTGCTTCATTAGTCGCCTCTTACGATATGAATAGGGGTACCAGTAGTAGTGTTAGCAGTAAAAATGAATACGCTAGTACTTAAGAAACTTACGGTGGTTCGAACAAAAAGGTCTCCAAGACCTTAGGTAACGTCTCCCAGAACTCTTTATACACTTCAGGCTGTTCTCTCGCCAAAGGTAGGCCGGTACCTAATACCTGCAAACAATAGCAGATTGGTCACCAATATAAAAAAAAGTCGCTTACATGTACAGACTATATTTAGAATTAAAAGCTTTTTATCCTAAATACATATTGTTTTCGAACTATCCCTAGTTTTTTACTTCTAAACTAAAATAAGAATACTAAAATTTGAATAAAGGGAGTAATTACAACAGTCATATGTAATAATTTAAAACTTCCTACTTCAGTACTTTACAAAAAAATCTAATAATTTATAATTAATAGATAGTCGTACATTACCTGTAGTAATAACGATGAAATCTGTGCTGTTTCATCGTTTTGTTCTGTTGTCCGGCGTCGCTTGTCCTGTCCGTATTTCTGTACGGCTGAGTGTAACGCCTGTATACAATTATTTTTCTATTAAATTTATTTAATTGGAATGCATTAACAAATAAACATAAAGTGCTAGATCATTCGTTTTTTTTAATCTGTAGTCCTTGAACTCCAAAACAATTCTGTTCACGCCATTAGCACTCAGTACACGTTATTTATATTTAAATGGTCATTCAATGCAATTTCACCTGAATTTAGCAACACTGTTTTGGCTTATATTATTCATTAACCAATTCTCTATCCAAAAAAATAAAAAGTATTCTCATATAGTTAAATGGTAAAAGCAACAAATATTTGTGCAAAATCTATTCAAACATTATGGAAAAGCTTAAGTGACTGCAGTAATAGGGTTAAGTAGACAGAACGTACCAACAACAAATGTGGCAGTACGTCTGCTGAAGCTTGCGGCGCGGCGCGGTACAGCGCGGCAGCGGCGGCAAGACAGCGCGGCGCGGCGCCGCCCGGTCGCTCCCCGCACGCCGCAGCCAGCTCCGTCAGTGCTTGGAACAGCGCTGGCAATAGCTCGTGCCGCTGGAGAGCCTCCTGTAAACAATCATAACTTTATTTTGATACTTGTACATCCTTTTAGAGGAGAGGCCTATGTCCAGCAGTATACTATTAAAGGCTGTTGATGTCATGTGATACTTGTATGACAACCGCAGCGTCTGTGTACTTATTTTGTACTTGGCATATTTGACTTGAATTCGGTATAATACCCAAGTTCTGTCCAAGCCAAGCCAAGCTAAGTCTGCTAAATTGCTATAGGACGAATCATCATATAGCAACAAAAGAAAAGTGGTACATGATTCTTTTTAAATTTGGAAATTAGTGTGCGATATTTTTTATAACAAGATCAAGCGATTTCGTTACTTCAGGTGTAAAACGTTAATTACAGCCACGCGCCACGGCCGCGTAATAATTATGACCTATTATATGATCTATTGTTTATGACACTTTACAAGGGGGACAGCGCGTACGCAGTCCCCACTACCAAAAATTACGCATCCGAGTTATCCACATTAGGGATAATCGCAGGGGTCAACCCGACCGCAGTGCAATGGGAGGGTCTCGCCCTGGGGGAACCGCCTTCATGATCACGGTATCCCCTATGCCAGGTAAGTATGATTTCTTAAATGTTGAACGAGGTAGTCATTCATTTGTGGAGAATCTTAATACCGACTTTTATAATTTATGTGGCGCCATCTAGTACTATCAACATGCATAGAATATGCATAGCTTTGTGTAGTGGCAATACTGGAAGTACTTCATCATGTGCCGAGTTCCTGGTCTGTAACAGTTCTAGTTCTAAATTTAAATTTCTTCTAAATTCTATCTATCTATCAAACATAATAATTTAAATTCGACTCTACATATCGCTTCTCCGTTTCTTCACCGCGCTGGAAGAGGTTTACAGACTCAATTTTAAGTTTTATGTATTTTTTAAACATGGCGTATTAGTGCCCTTGTCCGCAGGATCGCTTATACATATTATCATAAACCTATTCATTATTATCTGGGAAAGTACTAAAGTAGGCCGAAGAAGCAGTTTTTGGATAAATGGTACATCTTTGTCCTTTTTTATACTTCTAACAAAGCGACCTATGCAAAAACTCATAACGGTGCCGACCATATTTGATTCCCAAGAAAACAAAAAGATAACTTTAGAATTTATAACGTCTTAGGATATTGTTTACTTTTTAATTTGTGTGATGTCCTTATAATGTTGTGTTTTCCTTAAGTACTTTTCAATTAATTGTTTTAATCATTGTCTGTACCCGAAAGATCATTTTTATATCTTCTGTCTTTATCTCTTAAAATATATTATTAGGTACATATATCACTACGATAAAGTAAATATTAAAAACATCAAGTCAACTCCATTTACAACATTAAGATTTTTTTAATTGAGTTAAACTCATTTAGAAGAATACTAAGAAAAGGAATTTTAATAATTTGATAGTTTGATGACATGTGGATTTTCTCAGTACAAATTACAATCATCTGTATGAATAATTAATTGCTAGAATTTTTATTTAACTTATGTTATATTTATGATGCAAGATACAAGGAAACAGATTCTCCGGTTATAATCCAGATTGTGAATAACCAGTTATTTATTGGAATATCCAGATAATTGAAAAATTACATATATTTTATCTTTACACTATAGATATAGGTTTTTATAGGTATATACTGTCACTGAACTCTTCTTATAACGAATTGTAAGAATTTCTTTGAAGGGGTTCTTGGATGGTTTACATCGACAATTTAACCCAGTAGGAGGCGATGCGGTTGGGTCCAAGGTACAATTTTTACGTTCAGGCACTGTCGCCGAGTCCGATAGTTTACTGTGGCAATTGATTATCTCATTAAGTTTAATTACAAACAACGGAAACTAAGTAAATATCTATTTTACTATTGACTCTTTACTTTAAATTAATTCTATACGTAAATGATTACATGATTTTTAGAGAGTTATGACAACTGATAGAAGATTGCCGGATATTAAAATGCACTCTGGTGTAATTCCTAAATTACAGCTACACCACTATTTTATTGCCATAAATAAAGGCTCTGTGTATTTATTAATTAACAAGGGGGACAGCGCGTACGCAGTCCCCACTACCAAAAATTACGCATCCGAGTTATCCACATTAGGGATAATCGCAGGGGTCAACCCAACCGCAGTGCAATGGGAGGGTCTCGCCCTGGGGGAACCGCCTTCATGATCACGGTATCCCCTATGCCAGGTAAGTATGATTTCTTAAACGTTGAACGAGGTAGTCATACATTTGTGGAGAATCTTAACACCGACTTTTATAATTTATGTGGCGCCATCTAGTGGTACTTTTAAAATAAATGGTTCTATTGTTCATCATAAATCTGAGTTGCAACTGGGTAACAAGTACTGCTAGTTGCAAATTTAAATTATGCAATTTGCATTTTAGAAATTTTGAGATCAAACTTCTATCTATGTCTTGGTAAAAAAGGGGTTATCAATAGAGATCGGTATAGGTGAAGTATATTTATCTAAACTTCGTGGAAGTAAGTAACATAGATTAAGATGATACCACCTCTAAAATCCCAGAATCATGAACGTGTCAATTAAATCCCGGGATCATAAGACATGGACTGGACTTTGAGTAAAGTTACAAACTATGGATTTGAAGAATCATATTCCAATTGTTCTGTGTCCGGGTGTAATTTTATCTATAATAGTATGCATGTATTAGAAATATTAAAGCGGTCTGAAGGCCTTTTCTTTTAATGAAAGTTCGGTCTCAGTTCAGTTTCCAAATCTCACAACTGTCATTAAAAGTATTTTCGTAGTAAGGTTTTAAACATCCATTGAATGTAATGTGATTATATCGAATTGTTACCGAAAATTGAATCGGTAATCTGCTGGTCTTAGTAATACTTTACTATTTTACAGTTGTGAGATCGAAAGTTGATCGGAACTGAATTGTGACCGAACTTTTATTACGAGAATTGGCCTTCTGTTCTCCATAGCACAGGCTCTGCCTATATAGTTAAGGATCAGACTGCACTGTGTGTAAGATGTTGGAAGCTATTATTATTATATTGTTAACTTTTAGGGTTCCGTACTAAAATTATGTCAGATTCAAAGGTTTTGTTTTAAATAGGTAAATTAAGGAATGCCTCAGATGCAAATACATCCCTACACACATTTTATTGTAATATTTGGTTATTATTATCCAGGCAGCTGCGGCGCAACAGTCTCTATTGTCCATGTATTTTTTGTTAAAAAATAAATGCGATAACATTTACTATCTCTTTTACACATGTAGGCATTTCTATCTATTGTTTCTTTCACTCAAGCAAGAGTTGTGTGCAAGAGATAGCATCCATCGTTTTCTGTTGCATTCCTGGATAATATTCTGTTGAGCGCAAATGTGTGTAAATCAATTTTGTAGAACCTAAGTTCTATAGTTCTATACTAAGTTCAATAGTAATATGGAATTTATAAAATCCCGGGATTAAATTGTTATATTTATGATTCCGGGATTTCCGGTTCCTTCCGACCTCGAACTTTAGGTAAATGTACTCTATCTATTCCGATCTCTAGTTATCACATACAATTTCAGTTTTTATTTTTATCTATTTTATTTTTCTCTTTATTGTACACCACTGCAGTATTATTTGTAGAGATATCATATACATTGAGGTGCAACAAAAGGCGGTCTTATTGCTCACGGCGATCACTTACAAACAAGACTTTATAGACTATTCTTTACCAGATTTTACTAATGACATCTATGTATTTACATACATAACTCTTAAAACATAATTTTAGGGGAGTTAACTTCAAAAGTCAACAGAATTTACAATACAATACTTAACACCGACTCCTATGATTCATGTGGCGCCATCTAGCGAAACAAATAGTTGTAGTAAGAATATTTCGCAGTCCCCGACGAACACTATGGTAATCGCTATTACGATAGAATCGGGTTTATTAAATATTCGTTATCTACACACCCTATTACAATCATTGAATTTTTTTTATGATCGGGCGATTAATACTTTTGGATTTATCGCTTCAATAATGATCTTTATGTTTTTGTTCAACGTATAACATAAGTGAAAAATTTACACGATCAATAACGCAAAAACCTATTACCAAATCTCAAAAGTCAACATTTTAGAGTAAGCGGCTATTACCATATTGTTCGAAGGAAAAATTACAGAATCTTATTAGTGGCAAGAGTTGGTTAAACGACACCCAAGGCCGAAAAATTCAGTGGATTGATGGAGAAATTGATGGAGGTGAGAGTTTCTCATTTGAAACCAACAATTTTACAGTATAAGTATGACTTCGACAATGATTCTTTCGAGTTCGATACAAAACTTCAACCAAACAAACCCAAACGAGGACGGCAACCCGTCCCTGGCCAGGTTGATGTACAAACACTCAAAAATGTTTACAGCCACCCTTTACCTATCACCAAGGCTCTGTTTGATGACCTGAAGTCTTTGTGTGAAAGTGAGGCCATCCCTAAATGTTATCACAGTTTTTATAGTAATTTAAATTATGCAGATCTCAATATTATACCTGAACAACAACAAGAAGATATAGATAAAAATTAAATTCAGTAATTTTTGTTTTAATATTTGTTTCATATTATAACAATAAAAATTGATAATTTTTGCGTTTAATTTGTCGCCATTAAATAGTAAATTTATAATCAACTAGCGTGTGCCCGCGACTTCGTCCGCATGGAATAGTGACTTTGGGTACCATTTGAGTGAATCCCAAGCAATGACGAAACTTTCATACAACATTTCAACCCCTATTTCGACCCCTTACAACCCTTTTTTGCATTTAAAAGTAGTATATGTCCTTCCTCAGGCTCTAGGGTATCTGTGTACTAATTTAATGTAAATCGGTTCAGTACTTTTAGCGTGAAAACTACACAGACAGACAGAGTTACTTTCGCATTTATAATATTAGTAAGGATTGTATGTCTTGCCCAATTGAAAACTCGCTAGATTATAAGCTGACAATATTTAGGTTCAATTTACAGTGCTACAAATAACCCTGTAAAATTAATACAATATGCATCAAAACATAAATAGATAAATAATGTCAAATTTAAAGTAATACACATAATAACTTTATTTATACATAGGTACCGAAATAGTTAATTTTGCTGCTTACCTTTCATAACACCTAAAAATGATCATCAAATAAGCATGTAATTTATGTTTACCGTAATATTAAAGTCAGTTATATCATCGAATACGATTGCAATGTCATTTTACGAATATAAAGTATATTCATATTTACCATGGAACAATATCATAATGAACGATTACTACAGCAACACCGATTTGTGATTACAGTCGAACACTATCGTAAAGTTAGTTTGCGTTAATTTTTTCCATAGCTTATTTCAGTAATGGACATTTTCACAATTTTCTTACTGATAAAGAAAATTTATGATAAAAATTTAGTAAAAATCTAGTGCAAAAAAATATTCCCTATTTTTGATAAAAGAATCTTCTTTTTAGTCTTGATAGAATTCAAGATATTCAGTTTTTATTTGCTCCTGTAAAATTGTAATTTTCCTATTACGATTTTGTTCGTCGGGGACTGCGATTTAATGAAACCTTGAGATTCTTATAAACAAGTCAGACATAGTTACTTTCTTAAATCTTTGCTGTTGTTTTTATTATATTGATTGATATTTAAAGTGGACATTAACAAATAGTATATAATTGAATAATTTAGTAAGTGAATAAGATATTCCATCGGTAAACGACAAAACATAATTATTCGTTTTGATGTATATGTAAATTATTCTGTCGCATAAAGCTTATTATCAGAGGTCGGAGTGGATTGATTTATTTAAGGCGAATGTACTTAACGTATAGCTATGTTAATAAGGAGCAGTGTATAAGAAGAAAATAACACCCAATAATCGTATACAAATCATTATTCAAGTGAGAGCGAGTAGAGAGAGTAAATCATAAGATTCAATTTGTTACTCCTCGTATTGTATGATGGCTGAAGATTTGAATCTTACATAATTTAATTATTATACATTAATATATCGATTTTTATATCGTAGTAGAGATGTTTGATTTTTCTCCATTGATGGCAGTTGGCAGAAGCAATTGGTACTGTTGGATTCTTATTGACCTTCCCATGTCAAAATGCACCTCCTTTGATTTAGAACACCCTTATAAGATGACAAAATCTATAATTAATTCCTCTAGCTAAAATTTAAACAGTGAAGAGAGGAAATAATACGATATGCAACCA